CAGGCTAAGCAAGAATGAGACCCTGTCTCTACAAAAAAACAGAAGAAAAATTAGCTGGGCATGGTAGTAGATGCCTGCAGTCCAGCTATTCGGTAGGCTGAGGCAAGAGGATTGTTTCAGCCTAGGAGTTGGAGGTTGTACTGAGCTACGATGATGCCACTGGACTTTAGCCACACCCAGTTAACAGAGTGAGGCTCTGTCTCAAAACAAAACAAAACACTAAAACACCTGTATATATCAAGTACCCTCCCTATACACATGGTACAGAGAAACAGGGATGTGCAGAACAGTCATATCACTGAGACAGCAGGTTCTAGGTTCAAGTCTCAGCTGTCACCTGTCACTTTAGCATCCTCTGCCTCTGTTTCCCTATCTGTAACATGGCAACAAAAGCTAGGCTTTCTACTGGATTATGAGAAAACTAAATGAGATGATAGTACATTGGGTACTAGGGATGTGGTCACCACAATATAAAACAGTAGCTGTTTCTATTAATTACCTTCATTATGCCCAACAGAGGGCTGGGACTGGGTCTTCTCTGTGATATAGAATCCTGGCTCAGTCACTCCCGGAGCCTCAGTTTCTCATTCTATAGAATGGGAGTCCCAGCAGTGCAGCCACCCTCTGTGATTTCACCTAGTCACTAGTACAAGAGCTGCCACGGCTCAAACTCCATGTGCTAGATGAGGACCTGTAGCCAGGATCATAACTCCAGATGCAAACAGGGTAGTGTTTAATACAAGGAGGATCCCAGTGCCATCTCCAGGCACCAAAAACCAGAGTTTTGACACAAATGACTTGAAGGCACTGGTTTCCATTCAGCCTCAACCCATGCCCTGCAGGACCCTAGGGCACAGGCCCCAAGACCCCAGCCCACCCCCACCTCCAGAGCTGCAGTGGTGGATGAAGGTCCAAAATGTCCTGTGATGTGGAGGTTCATGGGTAGGGGTGTAGTGGGATGACCGCCAGGCTGCAGGGTATATGGCAGAGGGCTAGGAGACACTGGGGGGCAGGCGGGCAGCAGCAGTCTTCTCCACCACAAAGCCGTAGTTGTACTGAGGGGAAGGAGAGAGTGAGAATGAGGGAGGATCTAGGGTGACAGGAAGGCTGTTGGCAGGGTGGCCAAGGAATAGTGGGGACAGAGCAGGTCTTCAGCTTTGGGGAGGCAAGAGGTGTGTCTGATGGAAAAAGGGGACTAGGAAGAGACTGGCACAACCTGGTGGGGGGTGTCCCAGCATCCTCATTCACCCACCCACCCCCAACCCCTGCACCCACCTCCTCCTCAATGTCTGCCAGAGACTTGATGGTCAGGTCTCCAAAAGCAGAGAAGGTCTGGTGGGTAGAAGTAGGTCAGTCCTGGGCCCAGATCCCAGCATCTGGGGAACACCCCTTACTCCTTTGCCTTTAAGAAGCCTCTTCACCCTGGAATATTTGCCTCCTACTTCTTGTCAAAGCCTAGTAACATCTGGCTGCCCCTCCTGGTCCCCACATTCTGAGACTGAAGACCTTTCAGCTGCCACCTAAAGGTCTCACCCCTCTCATCCCCAACCCAGCGTGTGGCCCTCCATGCCATAGCACTGGATGTAGCAATGTCCCTGAGGACCCTGACTCACCAGGGGGCTGCAGCTCTTGCCCTCGAATCGGGGGTGCAGGGTGAAGGGAACACCATCCATGGCTGGAAAAAACATGCCAGGGAAGGAGGTGAGGCATAGAGGGCTTGAGGCTTTGCCCATCCACCTAGAGAAGCTCACCCTGGCTCTTCTCAGTCTTCACAGAACCCAGAGGTCGGGGTGGGGTGGGGAAAGGGGACATCTTCCTGGCTGTGCATTCTTAAGCCAGTCACGCCCCTCACCTCTGTGTGTCAGTTTCTTCATTCTGTGCTCACCTGAGATGCCATACAGGCTGGATGCCTCATAGATGGAGTCATTCCTTCTCAGGGTAGACGCCCGAGAGCCCAGCCTTGACAGCGTCCGCTCTGGTAAAGCACCCTTGCTGGTAAAGATGGGACAATCCAAGTCAGGCCTTATCCTCCCACCATGGTCACCCTCACTCTGGTGCCTGAGGGCTCACCTTGGCTGACTTGGTGGGTCCAGGGAAAGCCCCCGCATGTCCCGACTGAGACCTCGGGGCTTGGGCACTGGCTTCGGGGCCTTGGCCTTCTTGTACCAGATGGCAAAGCCACCCATATCCCTGGAACAGGACAGAAGATAAGAGGGATCCTGGTCCAATGTGCAGCTGGGGAAGGTATGGGACCCAGGCCTCTGAGCAACCTCTGTCTTTTGAGGGATTTTCCTTTCAGCATCTGAACTCCCACCCTAAGCAGCATACTAACCAACATTGCTGGGTGCTAATCACTGCTCTAGCCACCAACTCACTGACTCCTCATGACAACCCCACAAGATGGGTACATCCATCCCCATTACGTGTAGGATCTGAGGCACAGACAGGTGGTAGAAGGAACAGGAGGGCTCAGGTGAGTTCCTGAGGGACAGAGGAGTAAGATTGGGAGTTGGGAAGGCAGAGAAGGAAATCAGAGGCTGGGAGATGGCCCTACCCCACTCGTAAGTATCCAGGCACTGTTTTGGTCTTCCCACTCAGCCGGACATCAAACACAGCTGTGTCTGCAGCCCCCAGGGGTACCAGCTTCACACACATGCATTTCTTCTTAGACACAGAGGCCTCTGGAAGTGGAGGGAAGGGGAGTAAGACAGGGAAGCCGGACAGTGGTGGGAGTACCAAAAGATGGCTCTAGGATGATGCCTGCCAGGGCACTGTTTTAAGACCCAGGTGGATAGTGCTAGGGGAATGGTTAAATTATAAATGGTACAGACACAGAAGGGGATTCCAGGCAGCCTTTAGAAAACACTGGAGGAGGCTAATTTTTGTTGACATGAAGGAACACTCACAGAGTGGCTGGCTGTGAGATAGACCTGGATATACCCATGGCCTCAAACCTCCCCTTCCTTCAGTCCTCTAATCCAGGAGTTGGCCATCAGCACAAGGCATGTTTTGGTACAGCTCATGAACTAAGAATGTTTTTACATCTTTAAAAAAAGAGAGAGAGAGAATATGTAACAGACACCATCTGGCCTAAAATATTTATTACCTGGCCCTTTACATAAAAGTTTGTCAATTCCAGTATCAATGAGTATAGGCAGGATCAAATAAAACTGGCAAAAAAAAAGGGGTGGGATATTATATTCATGGCTAGGAGGATTGTACCAGGGCTGTGTGATCCAGGAGAGAAGGGGTGAGGCAGGGGCAAGGGTGAGACCTGAAAGAGGATAAGTAATCAGCTATGTAAAGAAGGAAAGGGTATTCCAGGGAGAGGAAACGGTGTGTGCAAAGGCCTGGATATGAGAAAGAGAACTGCGTAGTGGTTTTGCTTGGCCACGGTGTAAGGAGACAGTAACAGTAATAAAACAGGCCGCATCGACTGAACTGTGGATGACAGAGACTGTGCCAATCACACATTTTAATTCAGGACAGGGGACGTTGCCCCGCTCTCTTATATAATCGTCCTCCGCCAACTCTGTCATCACCCCGTGTGCTAGAGAGCAGCCGAAGCTCAGATAACTCGCGCCTGTCGTCTGTCCTCCCCTCTCCACCCTGCAAGGCCCTGGACAGTTCCCGTCCTTGACGCCGGCCTTACTGGAGTCCTGGGGGTCGCAGACCCGGGAGAAGCCTGGCGGGAGGGGGCTCTTGTCCACCACAATCTGGATATCGGCCACTATGTTCTCCTGAGGATTCTGGAGGAAGGGAGACACAGTGAGGGTCACCCAACAGCAGGGACGGCGCTCCTGGCACAGGGCTATGAGAATGGTCACGAGCACCGGCGAAACTTGTTGGTCCAAAGGTGAGCGCCCCTTACCTCCAGGCTGCCCAGAGGACAAAGGCACAGGAAGTAGCTAGATTTCTGCGCGAAGCTCTTGCCAAAGCTGGCGGGTGCCCCCTCGACGGTGCAAGAGATCTATTGGGAGGACGCGGGTCACTGCCAGGCTCTTACTCAGCCGCGGCAGCTTCTACCCCATTGAACCCCTGCCCCCCGACGCCGCTCACCGCGCTGAATCCCCGCGGCGGAGGCGCCGAGGCCGACGACCAGACGAGGCCCGCAAGGGGTACCGCGTCGGTGCCCGGCCCAGGATCCATCCTCCGAGCGGAGCGCCAAAGGCGACGGACGGGCTGGGACCTCTGAGCCGCCTCTCGACGGTAGCGCACCCGCAGGAGACAGAACTACAACTCCCAGGAAACCATGCGAGCACCAAAAAAAAAAAAAAAAAGACCGGGAAGCCCCTAGGCGCGTGCCCAAAAGCTATTGGCCAATGGCGTGGGTACGTGGAGTCATGCGCCACCGCGTGCGTCCGTGAGCGTCGTATACGGAAAAAGGTCTCTCAGCTTTTCCACGGTCCGGCAACTTCCGCCGGGAATGTCATACAGCACAGAGCCAAGGTGGTTCTCTGCGCTAGGACTACGTTTCCCAGAATTCCTTGGGGCCATCACGGCTGCTCTAAAGACAAGCTCGTTGTTTCCCGGAAAAATTGGGAGAAAAATATGAAAACCTCGCAATTGTAGCTATTGCAAGCCACCCAAAGCAAATCATCGTGGGATATGTAGCTAATAATTTAAATTGCGAAAAATATGGACCATTATAAGCCAGAAAATATTGGGTGTAATTTGAAGACTTGTTCACGGATACAGAAATGTTTAAACGTGAAATATAAAAAAACATTTGGTATGCCAACATGCTTTTACACCCTTCAAGGGGAAAATTAGGGAATGGAATATTATTTACTCTTCTGTATTTTCTAATTTTCGACAATAACATGGGTTGACTCACCACCTGTATTTGTACATGTGAGCTAACGATGTTTTTCACATTTGAAAATGGTTGGGAAAAATTTTTTAAAAATTTTAATGACATGTGAAAATTATATGAAATTCAAATGTTAATGTCCAAAATAAACATCCTAGAAAAGATGACCAGTATATAGAGGTGAACATATCGCAGGTTTCCTCTTAAAGTTCCCCATTATTAACAAGCTTTGAAAGACAGCATTCAGCCCTGGGCTGGTTAAGAAGCTGGGAAACAAGAAGGTGGCATTAACCGATCGTGGACCCAGGGAGATACAGGCAGTCGGTCCAGTATACCTGGGAACCAGTCTGTTGTTCAGAAGAGGGACAGACTATGCTGCCTGGAATCTAGACCAGGGAAAGAGGTGGAAAGAGCAAGGATGTCTGTGAGAGGTGGCCTTTCTAACAACCTACCTAACAGGAAAATAAACTATCAAACAGAAATTAAGAGAAAACTCTTTAATTTTTTTAAATTAAAACACCTGTGTGGGCAGCACCTGTGGCTCAGTGAGTAGGGCTCTGGCCCCATATACCAAGGGTGGTGGGTTTGAACCTGGCCGCGGCCAAACTGCAACAAAAAATAGCTGGGCATTGTGGCAGGCACCTGTAGTCCCAGCTACTCAGGAGGCTGAGGCAAGAGAATCACCTAAGCCCAGGAGTTGGAGATTGCTGTGAGCTGTGACGTCACAGTACTCTACTGAGGGCAATAAAGTGAGACTCTGTACCTTAAAAAAAAAGCAAACCTGTGGCCTAACTTGTTATCTCTAAAAATCCCTTTTCTCAGCCTTGACGACTCCTAAATGGACAGTAGGGGTGCATGAGTTCCCTGTTCCAACTCTCTGCCTCGTTCTCTCCAGCACCATTTCCAAAGGACTCAGGTAAGCGGAAAATGTTCTGTCTGCTGAAGCAGAGAGGAAAAAAAGCTGGTTTTACCCCTTAAAACACCAGCTGCCTCCAGGCACAGTGGCTCACACTTAGAATGCTAGCACTCTGGGGGGCTGAGGCAGGTGGATAGCTCGAGGTCAGGAATTTGAGACCAACAACAATTTTTCTACTAAAAACAACAATTTTTCTACTAAAAATAGAAAAATTAGCCTGCGTGGTGATGGTCACCTGTAGTCCTAGCTACTTGGGAGACGAAGGCAGGAGGATTGCTTGAGCTCAGGAGTTTGAGGTTACTGTGAGCTAGGCTGAAGCCATGGTACTCTAGCGCAGGTGACAGACTGAGACTCTGTTTCAAGAAAAAAAAAACAAAAAACAAAAAAACATCAGACACTTTTCACTTTTCCTCAACAACTGTCAAGCATTTTCTTTCTTCTTGCCATGGCATATCTCTCTCTCTCTCTAAAATAAATAAGCTTGGTACTTATTTCTATCCTAAATTTTGTCTGAGAATTCTTTCTCCAACTGTCCTGAGCACCTAGTAAATTTCCACCCTAACTTTTGGCAGCTCATGTAGGGAGGACAAACTGAGTTACATGGGGATTTCACTTTTCAGTGTCTTTTAAGAGGAGTCACGTCTCCGCCTCTGCACAAGGAGCTCATTTTTCTGCCCCTGTCTTACAACTACACCCTCCTCTGCTGCACAGCTGCCAGGACTTCATCTTAGTGCCCTCACTAGGAATTTGGTAAGTCTCCCGGGCTTTGGAAATGGTCACATACTCAAGAATGAGTTCGCAGCTCTGCAAAACCCTGTGCCAGTTTGCCACTCTGTGAGAGATGCATGGGGCAGTGCTTCCTAATCACCTCCTCCAGGCCACCCCCCAGATCCACGGATGCCTGGCTTTGGGGAAGCTCTTCTCTTCTGTTTCCTATCAGTCTGACTCAAACTCAGGGATACCCAGTGTGTGAACACCCAAACATCTAGTGGGTGTAGCCTCTCTCAGACTCCCAGTAGTTCAATATATGACCATTCCTATAGTCCTAATTACCATCATGGGCAATGTTCAATTGGCCCCACCTAAACACTCCCCATCAGGCTGTCTCCTTAAGAATTTGAAAACTTTGGAACTTTCTGACCTCCATCCCAGATGTTTAGTCTTCCACTGTAATACAGGCTGGCCACAATATAGGATAAATGACCAGGAGGTAGGGCCAGAGAATGGATCTCTAAATCGTGACAGCATCCTGCAACTTGAACTTTTCCATTCTGTAGACTCAGCAAGTGGTCTGAAGTTCCCTATAAAGGCTTTCTTTGAACTTGCTAAACATCCTATTCTCCATTCTACCTGTCGCAGCATGCTACTTTTCACTTCTACATCCCCCCCCCCTTTTAACTCCACAATCTTCACTATCCCCAGAGCCCCCTCTTTCTTCTCTGGCTCCACCTCTCTCTCCCAGCTGCACTCGCTCCCACAGCCCATTTCAAAACCCCTCTCCGCCTGTGCTGGAAGGCATTCTTGGAGCCCCGTCCCTTTCTTTATGTGAGATCTGTCTCAAATAGAAGCTAAACTGGGCAGCTTCTTGGCTGACCCCTCAAAGTTCTTTAAAGAGTTTGAAAATCTCATCCTTTCCTGTGATCTGTTGTGGAGAGATATCCATGTAATTTTCTTTACTTGTACTACTACGGAGGACAGAAGTCATGTTTGTTGGTCTAAGGCCAGTATGCACATGCTGTTGACTTCATGGTCGTCACAGAACAGGAACCAAATTGGGATTACCAACAGGAGTCTCCTCACAGGAGGTGGCAATACCATATGCCTTCTTTCCTCAGAAAGAGGAGGGCCACTGCTAAACTGTTATTTATGATAGAGTTAAAGAGGTTACTTAGAATGAGGATGAGAATCCAGCCCTTTTCATTTCACATCAGAGATTTTTGCCTCTTTAGCAAGGGTTCTCAACCTGTGGGTTGTGACCCCTTTGTAACAATGAAAATACATCCTACATATCAGGTATTTACATTACAATTCATAACAGTAGCAAAATTGTAGTTATGAAGTAGCAACGAAAATAATTTCATGGTTAGGGAGTCACCACAATATGAGGAACGGTATTAAAGGGTCGCAGCTTTAGGAAGCATTAGGAAGGTTGAGAACCACTGCTCTATACTAACTTAGATCCTGATGCAGGGAGAGAAAAACTATCCTGGCAATGCATTTCATCTCTCAGTTGGCCCCTGATAGCCAGCATAAACTCCAAAAACTTTAAAGGGCCTCAGAGTCCACAAGCAGAGTTTTTAGATCTGGCCTTCAAGGTCTTCAATAATCAAGATGAGAAGGGAGGAAAAGGAGAAAGAGACTGGCAAAGGGTCTTAGAACAGAAGGAAGCTTTTCAAATGGTGGTTACCACATAAGAGAAGATTTTCAGAGATGGAGATGCCCTAGTGGCTCCAGCAAGAAGATGTCAGGACCACACCCTACTCCAGAAACAAAACTTTGCTCTAACTGTCACCACCTGGGTCACTGGAGCAAGAAATACTCCAGGAGACCCCTTCTGGGAACATATCCTCACTGCAGAAAGAAGGGGCACAGGAAGTGAGGTTGACCTCTTCCTAAACTGGGAACTTGCACTGATGTTTCTAACCCCATGGACCCCCTTAGCCAGCACCTTCCATACCCATGGATCTTGTGAGATTGCCTCAGTGTGACTGACAGATCCTGACTTTGGACCCTGCTTCACTTCATAACATCAAATAGCTGAGAGCCTAGGTGATTCTCGGTCACAGGGAAGCAGGTCAGTTTTCTAGTTAACACTAAAGCCACTTGCTCTGCCCTTCCTGAACGTTTGGGACCTTTGTTTCCCTTTCCTATTTCCATCATTGGAGTTGAATATAAAATACAACCCCCCTGAGTACATCACAGCCCCGCTGCTCACTGGGAGAACAAGTGTTTGCTCATTCCTTTGACTGCTTCCCTGTTGCCCCACCCCTACTAGGAAAAATCTTAAGGTTAAGTTAGACACCTAACTTCTTTGACACTACAGCCTTCCTTTCTCAGGCTCTTAAAAAAGACTTAACATTTGGGGCGGCACCTGTGGCTCAAAGGAGTAGGGCACCAGCCTCATATGCCAGAGGTGGCAGCTTCAAACCCAGCCCCAGCCAAAAACTGCAAAAAAAAAAAAAAAAAAAAACAACACTTAACATTCTCACTAACTCTGAGTGTATGGGTGTACACACTGAAAATTCTCTCTCTACCATTTGGGCTTTTATGCCATTTGGACCTAAGACAGGCTGTTTACCATATTGATTGGTTAGAGATAAGATCCTTTTTTTTTGAGACAAAGTCTCACTTGGTCACTCTGGGTAGAGTGTCGCGGTATCCTAGCTCACAGCAACTCAAGTTCTTGGGCACAAGCGATGCTCTTGCCTCAGCCTCCCAAGTAGCTGGGGCTACAGGTGCCCAACACAATGCCTGGCTAGTTTTTTTAGTTTTAGTAGAGACAGGATCTTGCTCTTGCTCAGGCTGGTCTTGCACTCCTGAACTCAAGCAGTCTACCTACCTCAGCCTCCCAGAGTGCTAGAATTATAGGCACGAACTACCATGCTGGGTCTGAGATGAGATTCTTGAAAATTTTTTGGATACAATGTTCCTGTACTTATGTTTGAGACCTCTTAAATTTCTGTTCTTGTTCATATGTTTAAACTAATGAACAAAGTACTCAACAGTTCAGAACTTACAGTCAATCTGCCACACTAGATTAAAATGAAGAGTTCATTAAACTATTTTCTTTTTTCCCTGCTTTGAAGCTACAGTTGCTAAGTTACTCCTGTTGAGATAAAACTCCCTAATTCAAGGTCACTGAAAATAGCCAGTTCTGACAAAAATGTGAACATTAAAAACTCATTTAAAACTAAAAAAAAAAAAAAAAATGAGGCAAGAGACTCGCCTAATCCCGACAACTAGAGATTGCTGTGATCTGTGACGCAGAGGGCGACAAAGTAAGACTCTGTCTCTTAAAAAAAAAAAAAAGTTTAAAACTAAAAAAAATGCTGAAAAGGGTGTTTACAGTTTCCCTCTAACATGATTCCTGTCCTCTACTCTCACTTTTAAGACTGTGTGGTTTTGGCTCAGCACCCCCTTTAGCACAGTGGTTACAGTGCTGGTCACATGCACCAGGGCTGGCAGGTTTGACCCCATCCTGGACCTGCTAAACAACAATGACAGCTATAACAAAAAAATAGCCAGGCACTGTGGCAGATACCTGTAGTCCCAGCTACTTGAGAGGCTGAGGCAAGAGAGTCACTTAAGCCCAAGAGTTTGAGGTTGCTGTAAATTGTGATACCACAGCACTCTACCGAGGGTGACGTAGTGAGACTCCATCTCGATAAAAACAAACAACAAAAAAAAGACTGTGTATTTTCAACCCCTCTCCCTTGGTGACCTTCAATAAACTCAAGAGAAACAGCTCTACTTCCATCTCCAGCAGAAAGCAATTACAAAGAAGGTTTGAGACCTGGTAGCACCACTGGCTCAGTGAGTAGGGCACTGGCCCCATATACCGAGGGTGGTGGGTTCGAACCCAGCCCCGCCCAAATGCAACAAAAAAATAGCCAGGCATTATGGCGGACACCTGTAGTCCCAGCTACTCTGGAGGCAGAGGCAAGAGAATAGCCTAAGCCCAAGAGCTGGAGGTTGCTATGAGCAATACCACGGCACTCTACTGAGGGTGACAGAGTAAGACTCTGTCTCAAACCAAAAAAATAAAGGTATGAGACCTCCACCCAGTATTTCCCAGATGTTGAGTTCATTAACTAGAAATTTTAATTTTAACCAAAGAGAAAGGGAAAATGAAAAGTGGCCTTACTAACAATCTACCTAACACAGGAAAGAAACTAACAGAAAGAGGAAACTCTTTAATTGTGTTTAATTAAAACACCTGTGGCTTGTTATCGCTAAGAATTCATTTCCTCAGCCTTGAAGAGTCCTTGAAGGGATAGTAAGGGTGCATGAGCTCCCCACTTCTGCTCTCTGCCTCGGTTCTCGCCAGCATCAAATTCCAAAGACTCAGATAGCCCTGCTGCTTTTGTAATCTGGCTGCTGAAGGGGCGAGAGCATTTTTACCCTTTAAAACACCAGCCACTTTTCTTCAACTGCCCAACACTTTCTCTCTTCCTTCTTGCTGGGATGTCTCTCTCCCATCCGATAAGGACCACCGACTCAAATTAGAATTTCAAAAGGAGTCTTTTATTAACCACGGGGCTGTCTCAGCAAAGTCTAAAGGAGACTAAGTGAGAGAGCATTGAGGGGTCTGAAGTTGGGGTTTTTCTAGTCGGAAAGTTGGCAAAGGGCCAAACGGGTGGGCTGAAAGTTAGCAATTTTAGAAGCAAAAGGAAAGTTAGCAAAAGAAGCAAAAAGCCAGCCCACTCTTTTACAGAAGCGAACCTTGCAATTTAGCAGTTTAGCCCATAGGTAACATAAAGGGCAGTTAGATAACAATAAAGTAACATAATGCAGATCTAGCAACTAATGGTTAAAATAATTTCTCACAGCACTTAGCTCATTAACTCTTCTGATGACAGTTCTTGGCCCTTTCCTTCTTATCTTGTCCTGTTCCAGCCCAGCTAACACCCATGAGGCTTCTGGCACCCATCTCACCCTCTCTCTCCTATAAATAAACTTGTATTATTTGTTTTTGTTTTTGAGACAGAGCCTCAAGCTATCCCCCGGGTAGAGTGCTGTGGCATCACAGCTCATAGCAACCTCCAACTACTGGGCTCAAGCGAGTCTCTTGCCTCAGCCTCCCAAGTAGGTGGGATCACAGGTGCCTGCCACACTGCCCGGCTATTTTTTGGTTGCAGCCATCATTGTCATTTGGTGGGCCCGGGCTGGATTCACACCTGCCACCTTAGGTGTATGTGGCTGGCACCTTAGCCACTTGAGTCACAGGCGCCGAACCAACTTGTATTATTTGTATCCTGAACTTTGTGGATTCTTTCTCCAACCCATCTTGAGCACCTGGTATATTTCCACCCTAACGGTCTATGATGTATTGGGGAGAGAAGCACCTCTCAGAGCTCAGTGTAACAGCAGAGGCAGGGTACATTCTGGATTCCCCTTTAGGGAGAGCAAGAGCCAGGGAGACAGGCATCCCCTTGGACCCAGTAACTCCCCTTCTGAGAATTCAATCTAAGGAAAGAATGTGATCAAATCCAAAATGTATCGAATACAGGTAGGGAACCACCAGGTACTGCTTCCCACAGTCAAAAAGCCCAAAACACCCTGATTAAAGACCAGATGTGGGGACAGAACAAGTTAAGACATGTCAAAACCAAGTTAAGACAGCAAGGAAATTAGCTGCTGCTTAACTTTGCAGGTCTTTATAGCCTAATTATCATATTGGGAGGGAACTTATAAAAAAAGAGAAGGGAAGATTCCCAGTTTGGGGAATTCACCTCCCCTTTCGAAGAAATAACATGAATATTCTCCCTCCACTTGGCTTATGATTAAACCAGTGCTTAAATTAAAAAAACAAACAAGCAAACAAAAGGGCTGCTCTTCTCAGCAGGAAGAATTAGCCTCTACTCTGTACAGAAGATCTCTTCTATTTCCTAACTAAAACTTTCTTTCATTTTATGCTGTCAGCTCTCTCTGAAATTCTTTCTCACTCAAAGCCAAGGACCTACTAGGACTCTGAGTGACCGCCAGCGTTAGGAATTGCTTTCCTGTGTCAAAACAACAAGGACGAATTCTGAGGAGGTAGTTGGAATGTACCAAGTGCTGAACTAAGCACTTTTCATTGTATTGATTTACCTTGTAAAAGAAAATAAAAATAATATTAGGACCTTCCAAACTCATTATGCCAAAGGGAGTTAGGTCTGAAGACTGAGCCATGTAGTCCTGCTGTCCCTTTCCCAAATTCATGGCAGTCACTTCCTAATTTTGTGTTAAGTTATTGTAGCCAGACCCCTAAAAAAAGAAAAAAAGTTTGTGATGACTGCCATCACAAACTGTCCATAAGCAAATGCTTTGTTTAGCCCCTAAACCTTTCAAGACATACATTCTCCCATAAACAAAGAGATGTCAATTCTAACCTCAGGTCTACAACCTAAGTCTGACCATTTTGGAACTAAAGTCTATTAAATTTCACAATGGAAATGCTGATTACAATCTTTCCCAGGAACAGAACAAAGACTGGACCCCTCAGTCACCCCTCTACCACACTCTGAGACATCTACATAGTTGATCTTTACTCCTTCTTCAAATGTTTACCTTATTTTGTATACAGCATAATTTCATTGGGCACTTACTAAAATCATGAGAATATAACGGTTTCTCTCTCCACCTACCCCCTTTACCTGCCTGTATTCTCCCTGTTAAGGAAATGTATAAATACTGAGCTTTCTGAAACCTATCTTGGAGGCCACAGACAACTCTGTGACATGTGTTTTCCTAGTCATGCCCTCAAACTCTGGCTTAATAAACCTCATTTCTCATCTCAGGCTCATTATGGTTGACATTCTGATCATAACAACTAGGGAAGGAGCCGTTATGACATCCATGCTATAAGAAAGTAAAGGCACACAGGATGAAGGAGTGAAGGAGCTGGTCCACAACCGAGATGAAAGTTAAGCCCAGGCCTGACTCCAAACCTGCTCTTGAGCCCCTCCCCCACACCAGGGGGGCTTGTCATGCTCAGCAGCATTGTTGAAGCCTGGGGCTGGATCTTTTTTTTTTTTTTTGCAGTTTTTGGCCCCAGGTCGGGTTTGAATCCAACACTCCGGTATATGGGACCAGTGCCCTACTCCTTGAGCCACAAGCATCGCCCAACGGGTGGATCATTTTTCTGTACAATGTCATTCTGTGCACTACAGAGGATTGAGCAGCATCCATGACCTGCCCCCCCCAAATGCCAGGAGTACCCCCCTCCAGTTGTGACAACAAAAATGTTCCCCAGTGCAGAATCGCCCCTGGGTGAGCACCCCTGAGCATGGAGGCATGGAGACATGCTGGGAGCCACACCTCGGTATCCTAAAGCAAGGCCAATATATACTCCAGTGTAATGAACAGAAATAAAATGTTGGGTGACAAGGGTAGGCTTGTGGATAACCATTGCTCCTTTTAAAGATGTTTTTCTTTAGTGACCCAACATTATCCTCTTAATATTAACCACAAAAAGAAAAAAACCCGTATTCATGTGTTCCCTGTGTTACCAGCTACTGTTAACCTAAATGGCAATTTCATGCAGGGCACCGCTGGTTAGGCCAGATGAGCCTACGTGCTGACATCTAGAGGTGGTTTACTCACTTCCAAAGCCTACCATCATAGATAAGTTGGGGAACTGGACTCCATAGTACTGGGCAAGGACCCAGGGCGCTTTGTGCACCCGGTGAAGTGTTGACTAACTAAAAATTTAGTCTGAAGTGAAAATGCTTTGAAGATACAACCACTTTAAGACAGGAAGATACTGTGTAACCTTATAACCTTTGAGGAGGAATCTGAGGTATACTGTGATAAATAATAACATTACTGTTGATTACTTTCACTGTGAGAATAAAAAGTAGCAAAGGGGAACAGGAGGGCAGAACTGTTGTGGGGCTAGACAGACCACCCACTCAGATCAGAAGTTTCCCAATGGAGTCTTTATTAGCCAGCTGGTGGCTGTCTCCACAGTCCCAGAAAGGAGACCATGCAAGAGCAGCCCCAACCCAAGTTTGTACAGGGTATTTATGGGGAGGCTAACGCAAGCAAGCTACTGGATACCTTGGCCACATAGAGAGATGGTCAGTGCAGTCTGCATGCTTCCTTCTGTCCTTCCCCATGTTCCAGCTCCTCCTGGGCATCTACCCTGGGTGTCCCTCAAACCCTTCGGGTTCAACACAACTTAAATGAAGCCAACTATCTTTTCTCAAAATAGGCCCTTCACTCCATGGCTGTGTTTCCAGGTTATCTGCCCATCCACCTGCCCTGACCCACAATCCATTGAGCTTGTACTGATACCGAAGCACTTTACTTGCATCTCCTCACTGGTCCCTACTGGAGAGGCTGATTCTGTATTGTCCCACTTTACAAATGAGGAAGCAAGGTCAGGGAGTTCACTTGGGTGGCAGGTGCACAGACTCTGGAAGTGGAAGTAGATTCCTGGCTGGGAGAGCACCCTGGTGGCCAAATTGGGATCTGCAGCCTGGGATATATTGGCCTACTCTCTCTCCCAGCTTCCAACCAGGCTCCAATCCCACCCCTGGCTCGCACACATTCCTTGGCTCCCATGGTCCCCTACTAGGTCACCACAGAGACACCTTCAACACAAAACCCAGTCTCTTGGGTCATACTCAGGCCTTGCCTCCAGCCCACCACTCAACCTTGCAACCTCAGTTTCCCCAGCTAAGCACTGGACCAATGATGATGGTCTCTGCCTCTTCAAGTCATGGTACAGAGGAACACAAAGCTGGCATGCATTTACACACAGGAGCGGGGTAGGGATTTGAGATGTGCTGTCCCAGACCGTCCCCCCTTCCCTCTCACTGGATCCAAGATCTGCTAGGAAGGACCTGAGGCCATAAACTAGAGAGTGAACAAAACTCAGTTCTCTCCTGGAAACTGAAACTGAAAGCCTAACACTTCTCTGACTGTCTGCAAGGGGACTTCCTGGAAATTGCTATTGGTCAGAATGGCTCGCATACTAATAAGAGGGTGGCCCTAGAAGATTCCAGTGATCTCCCTTAACTCCAGTCCAAAATCCAGCTAGGGGTAAATCTAGATGGCACCAACTTTCTACCACTATTACCCAGTGCCCATGGATGAATATTGTAAGGGAGATGGAGGACAGGGACAGAAGCGCTCCTGTTCGTGGATGACGGTAGTTTTCGTAATAATCATAGCGATTTTGTCTGTGCTTCTGATCATCTTCATTGTCAAGAGCAAGGCCTGCTGGGATAGCTACCAGGTGGAGATGAAGTATTACAATGTCACCCAGACCGTGGCCTATGAGGACTTCCTGAAGAACTGTAACTGCACTGTGGTAAGCCACCATAACGCCTTCAGAAGACCTAGTGCTGGGGGGCGGGGGGGAGGCCTAGAAACTTCCTCAGAAATCTGCAGCAGGGTCTGGGGGAGACAAGGGAAGCCTGAAAACTGTTCCTGGGCCCCCAAATCAGGGAGTCTTAGTCTCCCCACCAGGGTTTGGGGATCTCTAAGCTTACTCCAAGGTGCTGGAAGTGGGAGAGGCCTTAAAACCCAGGAGCACCCAAATCAGGGACTTCCATACCCCCACTAGGGATTGGGGAAACCTCCAGACTCTTTCCAGAGCACTGGTGTGGGGGAACCTGAACTCCTCATGGGCATCAGTGTTGGGGAAGTGGAAATCCCTATTAGGGGTTAAATGGGGACCTCTCCAGGTCCTGAAGAAGAGGCTCTTGAAATTTCCACTGCATCCCAGAGAGACTGAAATATTCACCTGGAGGTTGGGCGTGGTGGCTCACGCCTGTAATCCCAGCACTTGGGAGGCTCAGGCAGGTGGATTGCCTGAGCTCACAGGTTTGAGACCAGCCTGAGCCAGATCCAGACCCCCCTGTCTAAAAATAGCCAGGCTTTGTGGTGGGTACCTGCGGTCTCAGCTACTTGGGAGGCTGAGGCAAGATTATCACTTAAGCCCAGGAGTTTGCGGTTGCTGTGAGCTGTGATACCATAGCACTCTACGGAGGGTAGCATAGTGAGACTCTGTCTCAAAAAAAAAATAGCAGTATTGAGAGAGGATACCCGAGAAGGGTGAGGTCTAAGAGAACAGGTCTTTTCAAGGAGACCACAAGGATACACCTGCAGGGTCTTCTCCATGGTGACTCAGCTCTTGGGAATTTGTAACTGGGAAATTTCCAAGTTCTATGAAATCCTGTAGTTCTATAGGGGCTGGAATAGCATCCTGCTTAATTCAAACTGGCCAATGAGAGGGGTACCTGTGGGGTAGAACTTTCTGATTGTCAATAAAAAGGGAAAGACCAAGCCAGTCAGAGAGCATGGCCATTTGGAAATCTATGCCATAAGCTCCTGGCTGGTGAATAAAGCCCTTCCTTTTACAAACGTGGTGTTTGGGTGCTCTTTCTCTCCCTTGGGCCTCATCTTCCTGCAACAATATTCCACTGTGTCCTGATGTGGGGGACCTTGAAGCTCTCACTGGACATAATTTGGGCAAGGAAGTCCTCCTGTGCTCTGACTTCAGGATCTCTCTAAATTTTCTTGGGCCATTGCCTGGAGAATCTGGAAGTTTCTCCTGGAGTTTGGGTATGGAAGGCCTTCAAATTTCCATGGGGAGTCCTCAAAATTCCCATTTTGAAGACCATATGATTATTGGTGGGCCTGGGAGGGTGTTTGGTTGTGGCCACTCTTTGAGGTCCCCAGGGCCTGGGAAGTGGTCTAGTCCCAGAGCCAGAACCTCAGTTTCTGACCCTGTGCTATGTCCTAGGAAATCCTGGAGATGGTGAAAACTCAGTGCCTGGGGAAAGTGCAGGAGCTTAAGGGTAAGAAAGGAAGAAGGGAGGGGGCTGTGGAGTGATGGGTCAGGTATTGAAAGGGGGAGGAGAGCAATGATGCAGGACTGTGGGTGGGGACTTTTGTACCAGTGTGGGGCCCAAGCAGGGCCTTGGTCACATGCTGACATGCCCTGTTTCCATCCTGCTTGCAGAAGAGATCAATAGATTGAACTTGACGCTGCAGGACACTCAAGCGGAAGTGGACCAGCTGAAGTCAGAGATACTCCCCTACACCGAGATAACCCCCCTACACCACACCCTTCCCACTCCCCAACCCCACCTGTCTACTTTAAGACCCAGGACCCCCTTTGCCCTGCAAAATTCCTATTGTTCCAGGGGTTAAATCTTTAGTTCCCACAAAGGAACAACCTTATCCCTAGGGTCACACAGCCAAGGGTGCCAGCTGCCCATTCCCCTCCCTAGTGACTGGGATGGGGGTGGGGGTGGGGGTGGGATGAACTTATGGTGAGACTATCATGTGCCATGCCCAGCGGCTGCCTGATTTGCCCCCATCTCTACCCCAGAAAAGAAAATGAACACTTAAGATTGATCAAGTCCAAGGACAACTATGAGTCAAACTCGGGCATCTCCATGAAACCAGGCCCACTCCTGCTCCTGGTCCTCGGGGCTCTGCTGCTCTGAGGTCCCCAGGAAATCAGCCAGTGAGGACGGTGAGGCCCTGGGGGTGGGGACAGAAATGCTGGGGAGGGGTGGCAGGGAGTCAGGGACTCTGAGGTGTCTGGGCAAGAAGGAAGAGAGGTCTGGAGGAAAGGGAAGGAGCCCAGTGAGGAAGGAAGTGGGCACTAGAGTGAGGCGAGTCTTGCACGGGGTGGGATTTGTGCTCAGACACAGCTTGTAATATGGAGGGGCTTGAGAAAGACATCCTTCTTATCTTACCTTGTCTTAACATAGGTGCATCCTGGATGGTCCAGCTCCTGCTATGCTTTCTGCTTTGAAGTTCCTTGGATCTGGCCAGCTCTGAGGGGATCTTGGGAGCAACATGGTTAGGGGGGAGGTCTGGGTAGCAGTGCATGGAGAGGGAGGTATCTCTGGAGTGGGCTTGAGGATGGGGAAGCAGCTAAGTTGTGAGCTTGGTAAGGACTGAGTCCCTCTTTCTTCTCCACTCTCCTGGGTGTGGGCATGGAGGGGTGAAGGTGGGGTGGTACCTGCTGTTTGCTTGTGGGGACTGGGGTCTTTGAGCTCCAAAAAATAAACACCCCTCTTGGGGAACACATCTTACTCTCAAGTTCCTGGGACTGTCATTGTATCACCCCCAGGCATATGGCATAGGTTGACACCTTCACCTAGCCCTCCCCACTCCAGAATGCTTTCAGGTAGAGCCCAGGAGGTTTGAGCAGGTACCACCCCATTGCCTCCCTGGCCCTTTTCTCTGCTACAGTCATTGCCAAGACTCTGCACTCTCTGCACACTCACTGTTTCCTGAGAATTGTATTCTTACCTCCTCCTTAAGTTCTCTGTGCTTGGTAACCGGGACTGTAATGAGGGTAACCTTATCCTGTTCCTCTGCTACCTGCAGAAAGTTCTGGGTTTAAGTCATGTGGATTTAAACCAGTATCAGCGCAAACAGGCGCGGTGTGCACACACACACAGAAGCCAGGCCTTCGTCAGAATGTTCCCCTCACCTCCATCCCCCAAATGCTCATTTATCTTGCAAGTACCCCAGTGTGGAAACACCTCCTCCAGAGAATCTTTCTTTTTTTTTTTTTTTGAGACGGAGCCTCAAGCTATCCCCCTGGGTAGAGTGCTATGGCATCACAGCTCACAGCAACCTCCAACTCCTGGGCTCAAGCAAGTCTCCTGCCTCAGCCTCCCAAGTAGCTGGGACTACAGGCGCCCGCCACAACGCCTGGCCATTTTTTGGTTGCAGCCGTCATTGTTGTTTGGCAGGCCCGGGCTGGGGATTCGAACCTGCCACCTTAGGTGTATGTGGCTGGCGCCTTAGCCGTTTGAGCCACAGGCGCCGAGCCAGAATCTTTCTTTTTTGTCAAAATCGAGGGCTACAATCCTGATAGACTATTCACCCACTTTTGGGTCTTCTCAGGCCCCATTGTCATTTCTGTTATCTTCCTTCCCCCACATTCTCCTGGAATCCTGACTATAGTCTATGGAATTTCCTGTTTCGTGACTGAGCTTCAAGTCCTACAGTCCCTGGCCCAGATAGTCAGTGGAATGTAAAAAGCCTCTCCTTCCATGGCTTCTGCTGTTCTCCTGGGATGAGGAAAGATAACCCCAGATACCATCCCTGTCACACCTCCCCCCAGCCCTTTTCTTTCCTCATTTCTTCTTACTCGTCACACTCCACCTCCCCTGATTTTTTTTTTCTTTCTGAGACAGTGGCATCACAGCTCACAGCAACCTCTAACTCTTGGGCTTAAGTGATTCTCTTGCCTCAGCCTCCCAAGTAGCTGGGACCACAGGTGCCTGCCACAATGCCCAGCTATTTTTTTGTTGCAGTTGTTTAGCAGGCTCGGGCTGGGTTCGAACCTGCCAGTCCTGGTGTATGTGGCTGGCTCCCTAACCACTGAGCTACGGGCACCAAGTCCACCTTCCCTGATTTTTAAAATTATTTTATATATTTTTTGTTTTTTGTTTTTGTTTTTGTTTTTTAGAGACAGGATCTCACTATGTTATCCAGGCTAGTTTTGAACTCCTGGCCTCAAGTAATCCTCTCCCCTCAGCCTCCCAAAGTGCTGGGATTATAGGCATGAGCCACCAGGCCCAGCCTTCCCTGATTTTTTTTTTTTTTTTTTTTTGTCTGTGTATGGACATTGCCAAGCTCCTTCCTACCTCATGGTTTTTGGCTGAGCTCTACCAGCTGCCTGGAGCACCCCTTCCTCACTCTCAAGGTCTAGGGCAGGGCAAAGCCTCAGCAATGTTGTCGGTTTGGGTCATTCTCTGGAATGGGGACCATCCTGTGCACTGTAGTGTGTTGGGCCACATCCCTGTCGTCCACCCACTATATGCCAGTAGCACCCCCACCTCCAGGTTGTGACAATTAAAAATGGCCCTCACTTCTGTGTCCCTGGCTTGTTGGAGGGCTAGCCACTTTACAATTATGAAGTATTTAGATCCCACCAACAGACCCATCTAGGTGAAGAAACAGGTCTAGGGAAGTTACTGGACTCACTCAGGGTTTGGAAGCTGGTCAGGCGATTAACCCTCCATGTTCAGCGGGTTTCCTTTTGCCCAGGTAACAAAAACTCCCCCAAAGCGAACTCAGTCTCCTCTTGCTCCTTCCTCTACTCCCTCACCTATCCTGGACTGTGTTTTGATGATTAGACAGATTAGCCCAATATGATGGATTGAATCCCTAAACCCTCAGACAATGGCTTGGGTATAAACTTATCTACTTCTTAAAAATCCCCTTCTTTCTTCCTGCTTTTTCCTTTTCTGGTGACACATGACTCCAAGGCTGTGACCCACCCAGTGATTGAGGAGCTGAAGGCTAGGCTTGGGGGATTTGCAGGCCCCAGTGGGTTCCAGCCCCAGCAGGAGTATGGCAGTGACTAGTGGCCAGCTGCTGTGTCACCCTTGCCTGCAACTCGAGCTCTCTGGGCTCTGTTTCTTCATCTTCAGTGGGGGGACACGGCACAGAGTCAGTCACCCTCAACTCACATTTAGTGCATACCTACTATGTGCCAGGTATGTGCAGTCACCAAGAACACAACAGACGTAGACTTTGCTTTCTCGGGGGCTCAGAAACCAATACCCCCAAATATGGCACTTTGTCAAGAAGCCTTAAGGTCTCTGAGACCTCTTGTCTTCTTGTTTCTCAATTCTCTGCCTCTCCCAAAACCCAGGATGAAGTTCTCTAAAATTCCTTTATCTGTGAGCCTAAAACAATAATTCAGGACCCAGTTAAAAGAGTTTATTCAAGGGTGAAATGTGAGGGTGGCTGTCTTCTAAGACACGTGAACACCAAAGTTTGAGAGACCAGCCTGAGCAAGAACGAGACCCCTAAGCCTGGTGCAATGGCTCTCAGCTGTAATCCTAGTACTTTGGGAGGCTGAGTTGGGTGGATTGCTTGAGGTCACAAGTGCAAGAACAGCCTGAGCAAGAGCAAGAACAGGTCTCTAATAAAAGTAGAAAAACTAGCCAGGCCTTGTGGAAGGCTGAGGCAAGAGGACTGCTTGAGCCTAGGAGTCTGAGGTTGCTGTGAACTAGGACAGCTTGGCACTCTACCCAGGGAGAGAGAGAGAGGGAGAGAAGAGTGGCCAGGGAGAGAATATGGGGGTTTGGATTCTAAGAGGGAAGGGAAGCGGCGGGGGGGGGGGGGTACAGAGAGAGGGGGAGAAAAGAGGAGAGAGAGAGAATATGGGGGACTAGATACTGAGAGGGAAGAGAAGCAGAGAGAGAAGGGAGGAGAGGGGAGAGAATAGGGGATTGGATCCTGAATGGGGAGGGAAGCCCTGGAGCCTGGAACAGTGTAAACAGGTCTAGGTCCCTTTCGCGTTGTAAGTTCGCCCCCTGGTGGCCCAATGGAGAATGGGCGAGGAGATGGGGTCGATCCATCCTTGGGTCTACCCTCTGGCCTTCAGCCTAAGCCAGGCTGACCTTAGGCAGTCGAGCGCTCTTCCATCTCCCATTAGCTTCGGTTTTCCCGACAACATAACCCCAAACCGGGCGGCTCCTGTGGCTCTTTGAGTAGGACACTGGCCCCATATACCAAGGGTGGCGAGTTCAAACCCGCCCCTGACTAAACTGCAACAAAAAATAGCTGGGCATTGTGGCGGGCACCTGTAGTCCCAGCTACTCAGGAGGCTGAGGCAAGAGAATCGCCTAAGCCCTAGAGCTGGAGGTTGCTATGAGCTGTGACGCGACAGCACTCTACCCAGGGCGACAAAGTGAAACTGTCTCGGAAAAAACAAACAAACATAACCCCAAACCCTCGCCGCCAAGTACCCCCTTTTGCAGATGTGATCCTTGGTACTTTGGCTGGATGTGCTCACCTGAGTCATTTCAAGCCTTGCCCAGCAAGAGTTACTACTTTCCCCATTTCACAGAGGGGGAAACTGAGGCCCAGGGGGAGGCATGCAGAAGCAGGATTGGAATCTGGGACCCTCAGTCCTTTCTTGGGCTGAGGAAGATGGGCCGGCCCCTGGAGGGGGTCCAACCCCTCCCAACGGACACGGGAAGCCATGGCTGGGCGGGGCGGAATCGTGGGTGTCCCTGGCGCCCCAAGGTGCCAATTAAATGTTCGTGGCCATCTGGGGTCAGAGCTGTGGACCACGGCATGGCCGAGCCGGAGACAGAGCCGGGCCCAGAGCCCGGGCGTGCATGGCGGGTGCTTGCCCTGTGTGGGGCTGCAGTGTTCCTGGCAGCAGCCGCTGCTGGCGGGGCCCTGGTGGCCTGGAATCTGGCTGCCTCTGCTTCCCGGGGCCCTCGCTGCCCGGAGCCAGGGGCCAATGTCACAGCACCACCTGAGGACTTGCTGGCTGAGGTTGAGGATCTGCGGCGTCAGTTGGCAGAGGCTGCCCAGCGCGAGGAAGCCCTGGCCAGGCAGCTGGACCAAGCCAATGGTGTCCGTTTTGAGTTGGAGAAGGCACTAAAGGCCTGTGAGGGCCGCCAGGTAGGTGGGCAGGGTGGGCAGCTGGGAAATCCAGAGTGTTGGAGGAGAGAGACTGCACACACATCCCCAGGGTTTCCTCCGTGTATCTCAGTTTCCCTAATTCCTTAAACTGAGGGAGGCAATTGAGAATAGCACTACAATGCCTTTCAACTCTTAAAGTAACAGTTCACCATTGAGTCTATCTTCTGATCCAGAAGGCTTTATTGTACTTTGCTGTTTGCCAGGGTAAATGGTGGCTGGAGAAACCCCAGACCCCTGAGCTCACCTAGGGAGGCCCTGTGCTAACCCTTCCTTATGTGTACACTCACACACCCCCACCAGCCAGTTTCCAGCTGCCCTATTTTAAGAGAGGGACACTCATGTCACCTGTAATTAGGCGGCTAAAGTTGGGTTTTGGAGGAGGTATCTGCTAAGGCTTCCCTTTTCCTCTGGCCACCTCCCCTCAGACTTTATCTTAACCCTTCCCAGCCTGAGCCTCTCAGAAGAACCATCCTCAAAATCTCAACCATTTACATTTATTGAATGATTATTGTGCAGCATATGGATTTTAAAAATAAAAATGGAATGGACCTTTGCTCCCTTTTTCTGCCTGCCTAAGAGAAGGAACTGAGGAACTGAAGGAACTTGAGATTAAGAACATCCTATCCTGGGCTCAGCACCTGTAGCTCAAGAGACTAGGGCACCAGCCACACACACCAGAGCTGGCTGGTTCGAATCCAGCCCAAGCCTGCCAAACAACAATGACAACTACAACCAAAAAATGGCCAGGCGTTGTCGTGGCACCTGCAGCCTCAGCTGCTTGAGAGGCTGAGGCAAGAGAATCGCTTAAGCCCAGGAGTTTGATGTTGTTGTGAGCTGTGACAACACAGCACTCTACCCAGGGTGACAGCTTGAGACTCTGTCTCAAAAAGAGAGAGAGAGAGAGAACATCCCATCCTGGCCAGGCACAGTGGCTCACACCTATAATCCTAGCATTCTGGGAGGCTAAGGATGGAGGATCACATCAGCTTAAGAGTTCAAGAGCATCCTGAACAAGACTAAGACCCCACTTCTACTAAAAATAGAAAAAACTAGCCAGACATTGTGGCAGTTGCCTTTAGTCCCAGATATTCAGGAGGCTGAGGTAGGAGGATCGCTTGAGCCCAGGAGTTTGAGGTTGTCATGAGCTAGGCTGACAGCACAGCGTACAAGCCAGGGTAATAGAGTGAGACAGAGTGAGCCAGGGCAAAAGAGAGAAAAAAATCCTGGGTGGAGCCTGTGGCTCAAAGGAGTAAGTTGCCAGCCCCACATGCCGGAGGTGGTGGGTTCAAACCCAGCCCCCACCAAAAACCGCAAAAAAAAAAAAAAAAAAATCCTAACCTGAGTTCACATTCTGGTTCTGTCTCTTGCTGGAAGATGCGCTGAGGAGGCCAAACCAGTTGTTTTGCAGACCACCCGTCAGAAGTAACTGACACATACCCCAGAAACTCAATCATTGTCAACCATCAAATTTGCCTGTTGGTTTGAAACCCCACTGAGCAAGTCCTAGATTGAGATGGAATTGAAACCGATATCTGATCCTCAAGTTAAGCCATATCCACTTTCTTGTGGCTTAGGGGTGGGGCCAGTGGACCTGAGCATAGACCTCCTTCCAAGCAGGCAGCTTTCATAAGTCAGTACCCCAGACTTAGAGGACACTTATGTTTTTTACAACTACAAGGCCCCAAAGGACATTCCAAACATAGCTCCAGGGGCAGGGTCTCCACTGTCTTCACACTGTCCCCCAGAAATGGCAGGCCAATACACTTCTCCCCTCCTCTCCACAGAACCGGCTTCAGACTCAAATAATGGCACTGAAGATTGAGATGGAAGAAGCCAAGGCACAGGGAACCCAGATGGGGGCAGAGAATGGGGCGCTGACAGGTGCGTTGGAGTACAAAGGGATGGTCGGGGACAGAGTTGGGAGAAGCCTAGAAGGATTCCAGATAAGCAAATGAAAAGCACTGGTGCAAATGAAATGCGACTTAATGCGAAAACTTATGAAAGGAATGCAAATAATTTGTGGAGGCCATGCAAATGTCAAAAACAATGCAAATGCAACAAAACATACAAACATCTTGTAAATGACTCACAGAAGCAATGCAAATCTATGAAAAGCTAAGCAAATGAGACGTGAAAACCATGCACATGGCACACAAATTTAATACATATAAAATTCATATAACGGCTCGGCGCCTATAGCTCAACCGGCTAAGGCGCCAGCCACGTACACCTAAGGTGGC